ACCATTCCTTACCCTCACCTCCTCGTGTTTTTTTTTTCACCTTGACCCATCGCCAGTCCGATTAAGATGGGCTCGGGCAGATACCCTACTCATTTATCGTTCTATTTTTTATTTTTATTTTTTTCATGTCTTTAATTGGTGAAAATAGTTAGTTTTATTTTTCAGTTTTGTTAAGAAAAATCCATGTTCACTTTAGAAATTATGATAATTCTTTTATTTTTATATGATAAAAAACTTAAATTTTAAATGAACTTTAAACGGGATGGATAACGGAACCCAGAGACGGCAACCTCTGTCTCTCCCTTGCCCCGTTTACGTGAGGAATTTCCATTGCATTCAGGCCGGCCCATTCATATCGGATTTAACGAAATTTTTGCCCTCCCTAATAAGATGGAGGAGAGTTTTGAGATTTATAACACGCACGTGGTGTTGAAATACCTGCAATAAGTGTAATTTACGTAAAATTAGATAACTAATTTCTTAATCTAATTAAACTAGACAATTGAATTAAGGAAAATCAACTTTTATCCTGAATTCTAATTCTAATGAAAGTAAAGATGGCATACTTATCTTTTATTAAAATATGACTTAGCCTTGTTAAGTAAGATTTAAGCTTAGATAACTTTAAAAACTTGATAGAATTAATCTCAAGTTTAGTTCTAATTAAAGTAGAAATAGTGGGAAGACTAGTTATGCCCCTATTTGACACACGTTCTTTCAGAATACTTTATTTCAAAACTCATTCTCAACCACAAATTTTTCAATAAAATAATATTTTTTTTATCTCATCAATAATTTTTCTTTGCTTTTTAACCCCATATTTCTCATCATATCACTATTTAAAATACATTCTTTTCTCAATAATATCCATCAAACACCCCATAAATTAAGATTTTAGTATTTTTAATAACCCTAACCATGATCAACTACTAAACTAATCAATCTGCCCAATGAAATGATAAATTCTTTCAAATATTCATTTAACCTAGATTTCTTTTATCGCTTCTAGCTTAAGTTTTAACTTATCCAAAATAACTTTATCTCCAGCCCATAATACACCGTTAATACAAGCTTCGAAATGAGTCGAATATTATTAGGGCAATTCTTGCTCTTTCAATGATTAATTATTATACTTTTACTAGTGGTACATCACTATGTACATAGGGGTGTACCCCACCCTCACTGGCCTCACACGAGGGTGAGACCCTCTTGAATAAAAAAAAATATTTTATACAAGTGGATCCCACCCCATGTGAGGGGGTGTACACCCTTATGTACATTTTTTGATGTATAAGTAAAATTATTCTAATTATTATATCCAAATAAAAATATTGTATCCGAAATTTACTCACTTTAGTCCTTAATCTATAATAAAACTTGCTAAAGTGCACTGTTCTCGACTTTTTTCACATACTAAATTCCAGATGTTATTATTTACACTTCAATAATATTTTCACACCTTATGAGATAACTTTGCACTTTGGTTCCTGAACTTCTTAAAAAATATGTTAATAGACCCAAAAACTTTTTAAACTCACATATAGGCCACATATCTTATTCTATAAAATTTTGGGGTGTTGCTGCGACTATTGAAGAAAAAAACTTTATTTCCTGTTCCAATTTTCCTTTTTATTTCAATCAAACGCTGCTGCCACGAGGGATAGTTCTTTCAACTAAAAATTCAATTTATTTTTCATTTTTTTTGAAGTTGATTAGTTGGGTATAATCTATTAGTTAACCATCGCTCGTCTTTTATTGTCTTGACTCTTGACCACCGATTTTAGACTCGAAATCGTGCTTCAGAATTGATGCTATTGCTATTGTGGGCTTTCGGTGATTCGGTCCAATATCTTGAAAATCGGACTGGACTAAGAATTATGAAAATAGAACCATTATATTTAAAATAATAGAACCTCTATATATATATACATACTATCTTAAAAGAGGCAATCCATCATTTACTTTTCATTTATGAAACTTTTTTTTATCCCTATCTTATTCATATCCATCCTCCACTATTCATTTATGAAGCTTTTCCACAAAAGGGTAATATGGACTTTCTCGTACCCATAATTGTTGCCTCTGAAAAATAAAGGAGAAAGAAAAAACGGAAGCAACCATTTACTATTGGTAGTCAATTTTAAGTTTAATTGTACTCTTGTTTTTTCGAACACAAACTAAACCTATACAGAAAAATATAACCACAACTGTCTCGACCAGATCAAATTACTCTCATAGTCATCCAATTTTTCAGAATACAAAAATATTAGAAGGTACAAACACGAACCTGAGAAAGAGAGGCGACATCGAGCAACGCAGCAGAGTAGTGGAGATCATCCGCGCAGCACGCTGGTAGCTCGAACATCCCGTGTCGCCAAGTGTCCTCGCTGCACGGACACCAGTGGACACCCTGTGTCCCCGTGTCATGCAGCGTGAACACGCGCTGTACGAAGTCTTGTGTCCGCACTGCACGGACACCTCGTGTCCACGCTGCGTGGGTTCTCCAGTGTTTGTGTTGCATGCGCGGAGATCCAACTCCGCATAGCGCGTCACAAGGTGGATTCCAGCTATACACGAGGTAAAATATCTACTCTCTCAATCTACTTTTCCATTCACTTTTACCTATTCCAAGAAAGAAACCCTTCTCTTTTCCCTCTTTTCCCCCTTTCCTTTTCTTTCCATTGAAGAACATCTCCCTATTCCCAGACACAACATGAGAATCTGAATAAACTCTAAGGTACGTAAATGCTATCTTTTAATATATGTTTCTCCCATATCCAAAGATGTCATAATGGAGTTTAAATGAAAATCTATTTCAGGATACAATGGAGGTGTTTGATTCAAATTGTGACGATTGGATCAAATCAAAAGAACGTTATATGAGAGAACTGATGGTGCCAAGGAAATGAATGAGTGTGTCTGTTGGAGAGAAATTGTAACTTCCAGCAAGCTAACCATTTGTAGAACAACAATAAACTAATAAATTAATTATAAAAAAATATCTAACATGTTTTTATTCGAGCTTTGGCTGTGGGTTGGAGTTGGGATGGAGGTGCAATTGACGGGTCAAAGACTCAAAGGTGGTGGAGAAGGGGTTGGAAGGGGTCTATGTGGCGGTTAACCCCGAGAAGCCGATAGGCTACTTCCAAATTATTTACACAAAATCATCTTGATGTTCTTCTGTATTTTGTTACATTTTCATATTTATATTGTCATTTCGAAATTTTCTTCATGTTTCCAACGCACAAGAGAATCAGTATTGAAATAGACGACCGACGACCTTAGGTATGTCAAATTTCATAGTGGTTTCATTTTTGGCTTCTCTTTCTTCAGTTTACTTTTGTTTCTTTTTCAGAAATGTCTTCTCTCTTGTTAATTCTTCACACCAAATACACTAACATTATCTTCAAAACAACAACAAAACCCGTGCACCGCACGGACAAGAAACTAGTATTTTTTTCAAAAACGAATGTGACTTTTTGGTCCGTTCGGTTCCTCTTTTCTCATGAACCCAATAATTTTGGATATTTGGTTCCGTCTTTTATGCTTCAAAATAAAATTTTCAAGTGTAAATTATTTTCTAATTTCTTGTTTCACTTTTAAACTTTATATTTTAAATCATGAAACTCTAAATTATTCTGAATATATTAAATGTATATAAATTACGATATAATTGCGAGATTGAAAGAAATATTCTTGATACCAAATCAGATTTTGTTATGTAGTAGCTAGAACACATTATCAGACTAGAACAACTCGATTTTTGATACAATGTCATAACTGTTTGTTACATGTACGTAATGATTTATATATACATGATGTGGTGAAATATAATTGGATTAAAATTTTTGAATCAAATAATTTTTTTCTTCAATCTCTCCAATTGATTTTAACTAAAAAGTGGACTGAAACAAATAATACAGACATATTAATTCGAGTAGGGTGGTTTTGATAAAGCCCCTGTTTGGCCCCCATTATCTGAAAAAAATGTTTTTCTCTCTCTTATTTTAAACTACACAATTTTCATAAAATAATATTACATGAAAATCAAAAAGATTTTCTTTTTTTTTAATCGCACATTTTTAAAAAAAATATTATTTCAAAAACTATAATATGAAATAATGAGGACTAAACGGGGGCAGAAATACCACCTCTACTATTAGCCTACCTAGACACGTAGGTAGCAAATAACCGTAGTTCATATATCAAAGAAAATGTTATGTGTACACAATGTTTCACATCACAAAGTGTATACATAGATTAATTCATATATCAAAGGGGTTAATTCACCCATAACCCGCCCCACGCTACCAAGTTGAAAAGATAAGATACTCTGCTGATGTGGAATTCTTCAGGGGAAAATAATAAAAAAAACACAATTATCTTTCTAATACTTTGTAATTATCCTTAAACTTTGATGTCTTATTCTATAAAAAAAACACGATTATCTTAATTCAAACTTGAATCATCCCTAAAATTTAAGTAAAACAATTTGTACAGAAAAATAGTTGACACAAGTTTTACCGACTCTCATATTTATGAGTGGGGCAAAGCCATTCGTACCCGGGCGTTTACTCGCCCGGGTACACGACCCCTCCGCCCCCCTCACAATGAGGGGGGCCCGAGGTGAATAAAATAATGGAGCGGGCCCTCCCATTGTGTGTGGGGGGCGTGGGGCCGGGTACACGGGCGTGTAAACGCCCGTGTACGAATAGCATGATCCTTACGAGCGTGTCAACAAAACCACCCACCCCTGTAAAACCTCCCCTTACGAGTAGCATGATTGCTTATTCGTTTCCATTTGCGGCTCTAGATTAACTCTGTCAAGTAGCAGACTAGCAGGTAGCAAAGTTTCTTCGAAACAAGCAAAATTATGAAGTTATCCTGACAACCCACCTCTATTTGATAAATCAATAAAAGGTTAATCTAAATTTGAGAATTTTTTTTCCCTCCGATTTTTATCAAAAAAAATTCCCTTGTCCAGCATTACTTCCAACACAATGATTTGCCGGAATGTTTATCAGAAAAAGCTATGGAGCTCCGGCGACTGGTTGCGGTGTGTCTACTCCTCCATTGCTCTGTCGTCGAAGGCTGACGGTGGTGGAGCCCTGAAAACCTATCTAATACTTTTTCAATCTCAAGCTCAATTTTTTACTCTTCCAGCGACGCCGTTTCGATTGAATAGTGATAATAAATTCTATTCCGTAAGTGTACTTTTTTTTCTAAATTTCGCATGATTTCTTTGTATTTCTTGTTTGCATGCAAGTAAAAGATTGGAAAATTGGGGCTTTTAATACCGCGTATGGAGTGAAAATAGGTGTTATTTCAATTTTTGTGGCTTTAATTGTTTTCTTGTTTATTGTTTATAGTGGAATGTTCCATTTGGGATTAAAGGGTGTTGCTTTACTACTCAAGCTGCGGCTGATCTTCCCGTCAATGGGATGGTCGATGTGCCGTTGGCGCAAACTGGTGAAGGTATAGCTGAATGTGAACTTCTTCAATGGTTTGTACAGGAGGTGAGTAAATGACCTGTTATATTGTACCATGATTAGTCAACACTGTTGCTGGTTCTGTGAATGAATTTTTTACTCAGTGCGGTTGTTGTTTCTTCAAATTGTTCCACTTTTCCCCGTAATTGAAGATTCTATATGTTGCCTGTTTGATTGTATTGTTCTTGCATTCCTCTCTTTAGTAGTATTTCACTCAACTTTGTTTATGCTAAGTATCAAAATAATTGCATTGGCAAGTGCTACCTCCAAGGAAAATTGAGATGATTTTACTTGCTAAATCTGTCATACAATTTTACGCACTTCATCTACAACATTTATACGAGCTAGGCTTAATCTTGGTTCCTTGTAATGTATTATGTTGGTTATATATGAAGTGTCTGTGTTAGATCTTTTTGTTGATTGCTACTATCTATCTCATTTTTTGAATTTTGATAACTGCCCACTAATTATTGTTGACTTCAGCTATTAATACTTTTGACATGTTTGATAGAGAGCATTAGATAGTATAGTGCAATATTAAAAATGAAAAAAGAAGATAAACTCTTTTGCATTGTAGTGTCCATCCCTGAGTACCAAAAATGCACTTGTGTACTATCCCCGAGTTGTCGATGTGAAAATTTTCAAACCGTAGCTTCCTGAGAGAATGGAAAAGTTTTGATAGTTTGATAAAGAGCGTGCCATTGCATTGTTACTGTGGCTTGTTACATGAGCTGTAAAACACTCTTGTACCTGTTGATTTTTTTTAACTGCAAATGGTGATGCTATTTTCAGCTGTGGTTTTCCTGTATGTGATTATCATTATACTTGATGTTGTATTCCACATTCAAGTTAGAACAACTGTGTGGTTTGGGATGAATTGGATATTGATGAAATCACCTGGCAGGGTGACCAAGTTGAAGAATTCCAACCTCTTTGTGAAGTTCAAAGTGACAAAGCAACCATAGAAATAACGAGTCGTTACAGAGGAAAAGTTTCCCATGTTCTCCATGTTCCAGGCAACATTGTGAAGGTAAAAAAAAACTGATAGAACTAGAATTCGTTGTAAAATCAAATGCTTATGCCACTTTCAGAAAATGGAGTTCTAATATCGTCCACTTGTAGTTACAGAGTTCAAGAATAGGTGACAGAACTATGTGTACAACTTTGTCCATGAGAAAGATAAATTAATTCAAATACATCTCGAGATTTTATTGTATATACAAATAACAAATTAGCGACATTTGAGTGTTGGCCATACAGTGCATAGGCAGTTGGTGTGAGGAATATCTTTCTGCGTAAATGACGTCATTCCTTAATCTATATGTTACAAGAAATCGTTCTCTTTTTCATGATGATATATCTTGTGAATAAAAGTTGAAATGACATTTAGAGTGTGTTTAGTTAAGCTTAAAAAAATATAAAAGTTACTTTTAAGTAACTTTTTGTTTAGCCTTGCCTTCTTCCATTCATCTAGATCTATGGATCTTTCGATGAAACATAGAAATTATTATTAAGTGCCTTGCATAGCCACAAAGTTTATGCCCTTTTTTGCTTTTCCATGTTTGCAATATCTTCAGTTTTACTTGGTTTTGTAGGTTGGAGAAACTCTTTTGAAAATGTCAATTGATGAAAATTCTCCTGCTATTCAAACTCTTGAGGGTTCAGAGCCTATTGAAGTAAATGATTCCAATAAAAGCGATTCAGATAGCCATTATTCAAGGCTTGGAAAAGCCAAGGTTGCTGGAGTATTATCCACGCCTGCTGTTCGTAATCTTTCAAAGCAATTAGGTGTAAATCTTGAAGATGTGCTTGGAACTGGTAAAGATGGAAGGGTGTTGAGAGAGGATGTCCTCAGTTATGCTGCACGAAAAGGAATTTTCGTGGAAGGTTCAGCATCCAATGCTTCTTCTGCCCAACAATTTCTAGGAGGAGATGAGAAACACCATGATGTTTCATTTACTAATGGATGGCAATACGAAGATAAGACCATTCCTGTGAGGTATATTCATTACATCAGTAAGCACCGGAGTTAATTTAAAAGATCTAGCTTAGTCTTCATTTGTGAATATAAAAACATTTGAAGTTAAAAATTCTCGTACTTAAAGCCTAAAGAGACTTTTTTTCAGGATGATAATGATCTTCCGGTGGATATAATTTTTTATGTTCTCTTTAAGAATTCATATACGTTCTCCTGCTATGCAACTTTGTTGAAGTAACTAGCAAACACCTATCAATGTTTATGATGCTTCACAATATTTTAAATTATCATTATTATTTTAAGATTATAAGGCAATGATGACATAGGCAGTTAAGACATGTTATGCATAGACAAAAAATGACTCTCATTTGTATAAGTGATGCAATCACATTAGAATAAGTTAGAAGTTGCAAGTGTAGACTGAAACAATATGACCCCAAATTATGGGGAATAAGACTTAGTTTGTTGTTCTACTATTTTAAGATAAAGGAGAGAAAGTACAATTATTATTGCTGGATAAGAAATTTTAATACAGCTAGACAAACAATAATGTCAATGGTATTATATATTCACAGGGGTTTCCAGCGTGCTATGGTCAAGTCAATGACCGAGGCTGCAAAAATTCCACATTTTCATTACGTAGAAGATTTAAATTGCGACGCACTCGTTGAGCTCAAGTCGTCATTCCAAAATGAGAATTCTGATCCAGATGTCAAGCATACTTTCCTTCCCACATTGATAAAGTCACTATCGATGGCATTGAATAAATATCCCATGCTAAATAGTTGCTTCAATGAGGAATTTCAAGAGGTGATTCTTAAAGGTATGTGGTTTAGTTTTTCTTAGTGGCTGTAAGTGATATATTTTGGTCTGTGCTTTGTTAGCATACGCATGACGCATTACATGATTGCCACTGTTGGAGGAGAGTTTGCACCATGTGATAAAATGATTCAACTTTTACGGGTATTTGCATGCGCCATGATTTGTGGTGCAACTGATTTTTCATTTGTGGAGACAATCTTAGGTTCTGTTGTCTCAAATACTTGTATGGTGAGGATAATAGAGCAAAGGAGTAAGTCAACGGAAGATTTTATCGATGACCAAGTTCAATAGATGATCGAGCATGTTTGGCCAAGCTTTAAAAAGTTTACTTATAAGTAAATAAGTAACTTTCAAAATGAATAATTTTCATAGTGAAACAATGTTCAAGTAAAGGTCTGGAAATTTAATATTTAATTTCAATGGATTTTTATTTAAAAAA